TTTAGATAAGGATACGCTTTTCGTAATTTAACAATATTTAACAATATTTTAAATAAAAATGTTAAAAAAAAATAAAAATAAAAATAATAAAATAAAAATGAAATAAAAATAAAAATAGGTATTCCATGTTCAAAACAATAAAAATGTTCTTAACAATATTTTTTGCGCTGTGGACTCATGATTCAATTTCATAAAAATAATTTATTAAGAGATCGACAGGACAAAGAAAATTTCATTTTCATATTATATATTATAATACATTATTAAAAATATGATTTTTTTCCTATTAATTACAACAATATTTATATATAGAATACAAAAATAAAGAATAGTAATGTAATAAGAAACTGAGTACTATGTAATATACTCACCAACTGGTTAATTTGGATAACGGATGGTTCTCGATCTCAACATGTTGAGCTACAGAGTAGCCAAAATAAGAACCATGCAGGCCCCTTTTGACAACAGGTATTCGTGGTTCCAGATTAAAAGCGTGCGTGACGCACGCACTTAAAGCTATCAACAGTAACGCGTTCATCTCCATCTCGTTGGCGATAATATCATATAATTTCTCGAATGTCTCCGTCTCCAATACACCTAAACTCTCCGCGCAATCACTTCTTCGTCATCACCATCGGCTATCAAAAGTCAAATGCTTCTCGCATACTCTTTCTACATTTTTGAAAATGCACTACCCACCCACGCATCAGGTAGTATCAGGAATATCGGGCGTACTTTCACGAGGCACCGAGGCAGTCGAAACTTCGTTTTGTTAAGTCGGCTAGTAATCGATGTGGCTTCGATTAATCGAAGTTCGATGTTTTTTGTAGAAATAATCGATCCCCTCCTCCGACGGTTATTTTCATTTTCGATTAATAAGCTATCGAGATTATTTTTTATCTCGATTAATAAACTCCGTCCAATTATTTTAGACATTGCGATGATCGAACATTTCATGTTTTTAGATTCAATTAATTGGTAAAAACAAGATCGATAAGGGACACAAGGGCTATTTCATACCATGTAACTTTTTTTAATGGCTGCGTTCCGCTGAATACGCCCAATGGTGGCGTATTTCCATGGGGCGTAGAGTGGATTATAAAGAGAGTGGCGTCAATGCATGTGTCTAATGCTGATTGGCTTCGATGATAATTAGAAGAAAGAATTTTACAAACTGACCAATTAAAAGCATTTGCAGCATCGCGTTGACCATATCCATAGATACCCCAGTATAAAACACAAAATGGCGACAATTGGCTAATTGGCGCCTCTCTCTTTATACCCACTCTAATCCACTCTAATGGGGCGTATTTGCCGCGTAACTACATAACCAATCAGTAATCAATAAAACGCGAAATCAAAACAGCGAATCGCTTCTGATTGGTTACGCGGTTACGCGAGATATGCGATAAATACATCTCAGGGTACTCTAGTCTAAGCTACTGTAAGTCTTAAGACGATTTTAAATACAAGAACCAACTGTATATGTATATGAATACCGGTCATAATTCAACGAAGTTTACAACAGGTGAGCGTTGTTCCAAACTGCTCCAAACCAAACGTCGCTTGTGTCTTCATGTCTTTTTCTCCAATGGAAACGTCCATTCGGTCTATTTTATACAAGTATAGATATTATATACATAGATACGTATGAATATATATATATATCCAAATTATGCGGTTAAATAAGATAGAAAATGAAAATTAGACTATATTATTAAAATAAATCAAAATAGTAATAAATTAATAAAAGAGACACAGATACATTACAATTTTAGTTTAGATGAGAAACTGTATATGATTACTAACATAATTAATACGACTCATTAGTAATCGATGGGGATAACAATTTGTTGTTTCATTGACGCGCTTAACGTCAAGTTTGACGTCGAATAGCAGGAAATGCCAGTTTCGTGTTCGGTGATTGCGACAGGCAGTAGCGTTGTACCGTTGCTCGTGAATCGTCGCGAATGATCGTGGATAATGGCGACGCGATTTTGTTTGACGATCTCGTTCATCTACTTTTCTTTTTGATTGCTAACTATTTATATTTAACCTTGAAATTAATTTAAAAACAGAAAAAACTGATATTGCGAAATTAATTTCGCGCAAGTGCATTCGTTCCAAATATCTAACCGTTTAAATCCCGAGTTTATGCGGGATCCCTTTGATATGCAAAAAAATAACGTGTGTGAAAATATTTTGCATAATAAAGGAAAAGTGATTATAATCAAATCTGTATATATTAAGGATGAAAATTAATGAGAAAGATATAAAATATTAATGAAATTATATAATAATATTACGAACGTAACAAAGATGGAAGATGGTAAAAAAGATGTGAAAAGAAAGCACATTAAAATAAATATAGGATTAAACGTAAATTGTAAAACTATAAGTATGTAATACATCGTGTTTGCGTGCGTGCGTGCGTGCGTGCGTGCGTGCGTGCGTGTGTGGGCGTGTGTGGGTGGGTGTGTGTGGGTGGGTGTGTGGGTGGGGTGCGCGCGCGGACATAAACTGTAAATTACACAAAATTGCAAAATTTACTCTAAAACACGCATTGTGTTGATTACTCACTTTCGTGAATGTTTTCCAAAATTGCATTTCTATAAGAGAGAAAAAAATCATTCGATTCTGTTCTAATCTTTCGGATAGAATGGAAATTGTAACGTTGTGCGCAGAGTAAGTATAATTAACATTTGAAAGACTATAAATGATCAGAAAATTTAATAATTTAATCAATAATCGATATAATTATTCTGTAAAAGTAATTACAATTTCTGACTTTAACTCATACCGAGTTAAAAAATTAAGTTTATCAATTTTTCGAAACTCGCTTTCTTTTTCATAAGAACTTAAACTGTCTATACGACAAAAGAAATAATATCTTCAACTTTTGATACTCATTTATGAGAAATTATTTTATAACAGATTTTATGGTTTCATCATGAAAACTAATGTCTACGATATTATTATTTTTATTTGATTACAATTTGTACAATGGATACTTAATGAACATTCGTTTTCTATGTATTATTTATTTCTCTTATAGGAAATATATTACATGTGGTATGTATGTGGAGTTATCAATAATCGTGTAAAGAAGACTGAACGTTTTATTCTTTGCAATTATTATTTATTATTTTAAAAAAAGGTATTTTAAGTATATATAATATACTCATTGAGAGAAAATGCAATAATTATGACAACTATAAATTTGGCAATATTTATTGGCAATTATAATAACTCCTCCTCTAGTTTTATAGAGTATATAACTATTAATCTAGTACTCAACACTGTAAAAATATATGTAATTACGGCAACAATATTCATTGATATTGAATAGCATGTCACTATATTAAATAATTACTTAGATCTCATAAAAATAAAACAAAATGATTATATTTTTTTTTTAGTTTAAATAAACATCTTTTTTTACATAAAACACACATTACATCATAGTAACTAATAAATTATTATTGAGATAATTTAAAAAAAATAGTTTTCTAGATTTTTTCATTAAAGTTGTTTAGCCATAACAAGTAGTATATATGTTGTCATCAGAGGGACGCAGTGAAATTCAATTTCTCTTAAGAAGAAAACCACTCAGCATACGATAAAAGGCGCAGCATTGAGTTCAAACTTGGAAAATAAAAGTAAATGCGAGAGATCTCGACAGTATATATAGTTTTTAATTCTGTGTACTAAAATTCAGAAATCTTAAAATTCCTAAAAATTATTTATACATATAAAAAATTGTAACTATGTATCATAAAGTTAAGACAGTAAAAAAATTAAATAAGTTACATTAACTTATTTATTGTTTTTGTTAGAACTTTATAATATGTATTAGTTGAGGCAAAGAGAAGCGCAATTGATATGCGTTATTTATCTTCAAATTTCTAATTGCCGAGACAACCTTTTTCTCTCAGTGTAATACTCTTTTTATATGTTGAGTCATTATGGAGTAATTTTGGAAATGATACTTTCTCCCTATTATCGTATTCGTATCATATGCAGTTCTAAAGTTCTTTGCACCTTGTGTATAGAATTTTGTTTCTATAACTCGTACGAGGGACATACATGTCTCTTACATAGATTTGAAAGCTCCGCAACTTAAGAATTTATCTTAAAGATGATTTTATAATTGCGATAAAACGATCATTATTCATAGATACGCGCATCAACGATGTATAACTTGACATATTCAAAACTGTTATTCGTAACATTTCGCACGAATAACGTGAATTGACTTCCGTTCTTTGACGCGTCAATCGTCGTATTTGAGAAAAATTCTATTATCGGAGAAAATGTGCTATAAAACTTAAACTATAAAACTTTCCGTATATATCTTCTTATTCTTATTCTTATATTTTCTTATCAAGTTTGTCCAATAGAAGATCATCACCAATGATCAAGTTTGTCAATAGACACGATTATATATATATATATATATCCAAGTCATTTAATCGTACGGCTAAATAATCATTATCCGAGGTAAACACAAAATTACGAGTAATTATAATAATAATTATTCGCTATCATTTATTTGCAAGTTTCATTTGGTAATTTTTTATCATATCTTTTAAGATACATGATAAAAAATTTAAAGAATGAGATATAATTGTAATGTTATAACGCAAATAAGGTGGAACATTTATTGGAATATTTTTATTATCGACATGTGAAATCGAAAGACTACCACGCGTATTCTTCTTTCTGAAGCGAGCTCCTCTCTGCCTCGCGTAGACATAGAGGAGGTATAAGTATCTAGAGGGAGAACCGAGAAATGTGCCGTATGCGCATACTCTCTCGTGCTCGCAGATTGATCCCGTCGTTGACGACGCCGTTTCTGTTTCTCCACGCACGCACGCACGCATGCTCGCACGCACGCACGCACGCACGCGGTGTATATCGGTTTCGCGAAGAGTGCCTCCGAGTGCACTGATAGAGCGCATATAGGTACTAACTAATATGTACTAACATGTATTGTGTGCTGCAGGCATGTAGTACATACCACAATTCACCCGTGTCATCGTGACGACGTCTTGTGTGACACCTGCCTGTCGGCATTCTGCAAAGTCTTATTAATTCGCCTCTCTCAATGCTCAAATCGATAATCGGATAATACACGTACAGTGCGGTTCGCGCCAACGCAACGATCGAGCGCGCTCAGTGCGCATTCGAAATAAGAGCGGAACTGACGACAACGCGGGTTATTACCTTTTCGAATCACTACTTTTACGCGCAGACAAATAGATAAAAATTTTAACAGTCGAATCCCAATGATTTTGCGTGATCGACGCGATTCATGTGACGTGTGTCCTTGTCTTGTCTTTCGGCAATCGATTTTGCGTTCGCTTCAATAATTAGTTTATCGCTTTTTTTATCTTAATTCATTTCATGCTTTCGAGATATCATCGCGCTCTCGATCTTATTATTTAGCTTGAAGGACTTATACTTTTAAACGGCTTTAGAAATTAGAAAAATATAATCAATGTTGATTCGATTTATACAGCTGGAGATGTTTAATCAAATTAACATTATAATACAATTTTGAAGAACTGATTAATCGCGAACCAAGTGATAACTTGAGCTGAAAACAGCTCTCTTAAAAGTTAAAATCAATTAAACATTCGCAATATCGATTCGCGGTTGTTGTTGATTAAACGCAGAACCATCATCTCAATCTAATTAACCGTAATAGCTAATCGGCAAGGCGGGACAATTATAACAACGGGACAGTATTTCATAATCAAGTTGCACGCGAAGCAGGGAGTCCTTAAGGGGGTCTCTTATTAGCTAACAGCTGTGAGAGAAGATCAAGTGGATTGCGTGGCGGACAGGAGCGGATCTTCTGATCGGAACGTGGATCCTCAACCGTTTCATTTTATTTTTCAATCGAGTAAATAGTCTGCAATCTATACAATTAATATAGAGTATAATCCCAAGCAGATATCAATTTCTATATAACTCTATTGCGCGCGATGTTTTTTTCTTGCAATGCTTGTAATTGATTCTTTTCGCGCGACAAAAAGAATCCGTTGAAAGATAAGAATTACAATAATAAATAGGAATGTTATTATCGAACTGAATACTATTGTATTTAAAATATTCAGAAGGATATTGTACGAGTTATCGATTTTCCCATTTCTTCGTTTACTTTAATCGCGAAATTTTAACGACAAATTTTATTTAAATAAATTTGAATTTGATTTTTTTTTTAAAGATTCTTCATTTCTTTTTTATTTACAAGCCTCAAAAATTCCCAAAAGATTTCAAATAGATGTAACAGATGCGATTAAAAATCCAGCCCTGATTGCAGGTGCAGGGAAGAGAGGGTGGCAACGGGGGATGGAAAGAGATCATCTATACAGAGCCTAAATAGATTGAGGAAAGAAAATGGAACGATGGAAGAGGAAAGCAGAAATAAGTGGGGAGAAAGACGAGATTGAAAAGTTGCGGAAAGCGGTGGAAGAGTCTATCGAATACATCTGATTATTCCGTACACGGCACTGTGCCGCGCGAAACATATACGCAAAATTCCGCAAATTGCGAGGGGTGTTATCGAAACATATTACCGATCATCGGTGATCTTTGGTCCTTTTGGTGTATCTTTCAAAAATTCCGTTGTAACCGCAGCTGCAAAGGATTCGACATTTGAGAGGTTTGTAGAACCTTTGTTTGTTGAACCTGCAGTTTAGGTAGCAAGTAATTCACAGCACAAAATATATACACCGTTCAAAATATGTCCATATTAATCCGTTAATCGTAACAAAATATGGTTTATACATATATGCTGGATAATAATTAGATAGCTATAATAATAGTGTAATGGGATATGGAAAAAAATACAAATGGATATATATCACACATGCGCGCACACGCGAAGAAATGTTGCTACATGTGACTGCTGTCGCCTATTATTACAATATATATCACGAGACGACAAACCTTGGCTATCATAACTATTCGTTATTACCACAATATCGAATCTATTACCGATAGAATAGAATAAACGTTGCTGACGAGAGTACTTGTAAGAACATGAATGTCCTGTTAAGGCAAAGTTGTCTATAATCTGTAGCGTTTTGTTACTGTAAAAAAATCATTATCGCTTCGATAAGAGGCCAAATATGAAAATTTATTTATTATAGAAAAATAATTCGAGAGAGAGAGAGAAAGAGAGAGAGAGAGAGAGAGAGAGAGAGAGAGAGAGAGAGAGAGCGTGTGCAGATTTAACAAAAATATTTTTATTAAGTTTGCTATTTACTTATAATAAAGGATGAAATTTGCTATAAGATGAAATGCGACGCTAGTTTTAATTTTCGCATTATAATATATTGGTTTGTGCAGCAAAGATGCATTCTTGCTCGAGATAACATCGAAAAAAATCAAATGGCGATAATTACTTCGATATACATATATTAAAAAATTTATAAGATAAAATGCAATCGGATGCACAAATGTAGGTATATTTCAGGATATTTTTCTAGTGACTTTGCGCTCTTGCGAAAGTGCTTCGTATAAATAGAAGCACAGATGCCTGATGCATAAATATGTGAGATCAGTTTCATACGATATCAATGGAATAAATTGATTTGATTTGCACAATTTCCCTAAAATACGCTTTAAATTATATATACATACGTGTGTATAAAGACATATCATCGGAAATTGAATATACAAATATTTATCAGATGTTTATATATTTTAATACGTTATTATATACGTTGAAATAAGATACGACAAAGTATAATTTTTTTTCGTTTTTCGGTAGCTTCCTTTATTGATAGGATATTCGAGTGCGATTGAAAGAATTTACATGTATAGAAATGGAGAGGTAGCGCCAAAGGTTGAAGTCATATTCTTCAAAATAGATGTTAAAAAGAGAACTATTTGTTCTTTGTAAAGTATTTTATCACATTTTGTCGAGCGATTGAAAGAGTTTCTCTCTCTCTCTCTCTCTCTCTCTCTTCCTCTCAAATATGATAGTAATCATGATTCAAACAATATAATTATCACTATTCTTACGAGTTCGCTATATTTACGATTTGTTTTTCATTGTTCTGAAAAGTAGTTAAGTCCTTATAATTCTTCACAAAGTATTCAAGCAATATATAATTCTATATTATAATTATATATTGCTTGAATACTTTGTGAAGAATGTTTTCGGTACGCGAGGTGTCAAAGCCTAAACTTATTAATATTATTGAAACGTCTTAAATAAATCAGCGGCGCAGGGTCATCGATGAGCCGACATACGTGAGTGAAATTATGAACGATCTAATAATAATCGCGCTCTTATCTACTTAGTTGATTTGAATTCAAGAGATTGATCCTACACACGGGTCTCATCCTTTTAGTGAGCGAGGTCAGTGATCATGGTGAATGAAAATTTATGAAATATCGTTCAAAAATTGATGTACAAAATGTACATGTACATATATCAAGTGAAAGTATCTCGATATTTATTTAGATGCAGATTTTATGAAGGGCTGTATTTTTACTACGTTACTTTTGAAAAGAGTACATCATGTGCATATCTAAAAATATATTTAAAAAAAAATTGTTATGTTGGCAAAAACACTAATGAGAATTTAACGGATATATTTTAAATACTATGTGGACGAGGTTCTTGTGTATGATAGATAGATATTAGTGAAAAATTGCGTGTTTCCAGTAGACTTGGCTGCAGGATTTGTCTAAAAAAACATGTACGGTCTAATCTTGGAAAATCTAGCCGAATATATAAGGCAGGTTTACGGTGAAGACAGATGGGAAGAGATTCGCAGACAGGCGTCTGTGGACCAGCCGAGCTTTAGTGTTCACCAGGTCTATTCGGAAAATTTGATACCAAGATTAGCGAAAAAAGCAATTCAGGTATGTCTACGATACACCATTTGCTTCACCATATCCTCATACCCAAATTAATTATTCATTTGTAAAAATTGCTTTTCGTAAATACGGCCAAATATAAAATACATTTCAGGAGATATTTAATTTTCAATTTTCAATATTTAAAGTATAAAGTATCGGTATAAAAACTGAATGTTTAAATCTCGATACAGATTATATCATATGCAAAGCGTATTACATTTAAACGTTTTTCAATTAATTTTAACAAAAGCGGATAAATGGTTTCATTCGGAGCAGACTGAAAAATTTAAGTACACTTACTCTTTAGGTACTTGGTGTAACGGAAAAGGAATTCTTCGATCAAATGGGTGTGCACTTTGTAGGATTCGTCGGACAGTACGGTTACGATCGCGTACTTTCGGTGCTTGGACGGCATGTGAGGGATTTTCTCAATGGTCTAGATAATCTCCATGAATACCTCAAGTTTTCCTATCCGAGAATGCGAGCACCTTCGTTCATCTGCGAAAATGAGACTCGTCAAGGTGAGTTACAAGGCTGCATAATAGCCGTCCGTGCCTCGAAAGAATTCTGGAAACATTTTTTCGTTCTCAGATCCTATTATCTCATCAATTTATATATATTATAATTCGCAATAAATAAGATTTAAAATAAAAAAAGGAATTAATTTAATTCTCTTTCAGCCTATACGTAATATTTTAAAATTATTAAGTTCTATACATGTACATACACACACACACACACACACACACACACACACATTCTACATTTTTATTACAAATGCGTAGGGTTGACTCTTCATTATCGAAGCAAACGCCGGGGCTTTGTCTACTATACAATGGGTCAAATAAGGGAAGTCGCTCGACACTTTTATCATAAGGAGTTGCAGATTGAGCTAGTACGCGAGGAAGTGCTTTTCGATACTGTCCACGTGACCTTTCAACTTACCTTCGACAATCGTGCCTTCACGCTGGCATCGCTCGCGATGACCCGTGAGGAGAAACATCTGCCGATCGGGGCGTGCGTGCTTTTTGAGATATTTCCCTTCTGCATCGTTTTCGGGTACGTGTTAAAATGATTGTGCAAAAATGTTACTAAAAAATTAAGAGAGTTAAAGTTTTAATACTACAAAAAGATATTGGCGCGCAATTCGCAGAATCAGATGTGTATATAAATTCACACAGTGGCCAATCAGAACTCGAGCTGTTAGTAAGTAATACAAAAAGCCAAAATTGTCGACTACCAGCACGAGTTCTAATTGGCTGCTGCTTTTCCGCTTTCAGCTTTTCCATCAAGATCCAGGAACGCACCCTCATAAAATATCTGGTTTAAGAATTAAATTTTTTAATTTATATTTTTATTATTTTTTGTCCTGGTTTAATAATTGAATGATACAGTGAGTTTAAATGAGAATTAAGCCATATAAAATTGTTTAAGAATTCCGTTTTATTATTTTTACTGTGAAAAACTCTGTGCGCGCGCGCATACGAATTGATGAATAAGACATATTTATATATTTATTTGGTTAATAAATGTTTAAATTTCAGATCAGATATGATTGTTAGAAGCATCGGCAATTCACTGATGGTCATATTGCCAGATCTGGTTGGCAAGAAGATTACTTATTTCTTCGATTTGGTTCGACCTCTTATTGCGTTTAAATTTCAATCGGTAAAGAGTAACCCTAAATTTAGCCTATTTTATGGTGGCCCTCAAAATTCAAATTGTATATCAAACGATGTTATATACAGCATATATATATGCTGGGATAATCTCAGAAAAATTTTAAGTTGAATATAGAGATAATTTTTGAGAGGGGGGGGGGGGATAGTCAAAATAGTCAAGTTTCTAATATTGTCCAAATACAATAGACACAAACAAAAGTTAAAACTTCTTTGATAACAGTGGAAATTTGACTAGAATTAATTAGAATGATTCTCTGACTATACCGTACTAAAAATCCGATTCCATCACCTTTAGTGCTTAATTTTTTAAAAAGATAAAATTTCTCCCAAAAATGTTTTTACTAAACATTATAAGAAGAACGACCGTGTATGAATAAATCGAATAAAGTAAAGAATGCCGAAACGCGATCAAAGTTAGATGTTACGAATATATTTAATCAATTTTTTTGTTTCAAATGTGATTGCGCACCGATAATTGTCGGACTTTCAACACAATCATTATGAAACGTTTAATAATCCCCTCTAAATAAAACCCCTAAAAACGTGTTTTTACTAAATTTCTCAAAAACGGATGTAAATACGAAAACATGTTCGAAGAAAAAATTCAGCAAAAACTTTTTTTAAGAATATTTTTATTCCCTTAAAAATTTAAGCAACAGAGATTGGATTTTTAGTATACAGTAGTACAGAAAATCATTCTGATTAATTCTAATCAAAATCAAACTATTATTAAACAAATTTTAACTTTCTTTTTGCGTCTTCTAGCTTCTAATATGCTTGGACAATACTAGGAATTTGGCTTCCTCCGTATCTCCAAAACTAAAATTTATGTCTGACAATAAGATTAATGTTTCATCATATATCATTTGGCAATTCGATTTAAATTTCGACAGCCACAAAATGAGCTAAAAAAATTATGCTTTTTGTAATATAAACATAAGAGAAAATTTAGCAAAAAAGAGACAAGAAAATTCACAAAGTTAAAATAAGTAACAATTATGGTCTAAATCTGTGTTTTTGAGTACTTGATTTGTGTATATTTAAATTTTTTGAACAAATTCTCAAAATTTCCCAAATTTAGTTATGACTTCGAATCGTTTCCGACTAACTGATTTTGTATGGTTTAGATATTAAACAGAACAAATAACATTTTTGAGCTGGTTACTGTTGAGCCAGTGCTTACGGAACGATTGAATGATCGGCACAGAAACGAAATTCTCTTGAGTGATGAGCTTGAGACAGTAGAAGATAAGACTTTACGATTAAAGGGTATGTTTATATTTACTCGTTAACTTTAAAAGACTTATTATTGTTGAGATTACAATAACAATGTTAGCTATTATGTGAGATACTAACTCATCGATCTTTATCGAAATTAATAATAAGAAATTTTTTTCTGTTTTTATTATATAAATTATATGCAGTAATAAAACAGATTTTTGTGTCAAAAAAGAAAACACGAGATTACGCGTGAAAACGTAAAAGAAATTTAAGAGAAGACGTCATCCCAGCAAAATCGCATTTTTCAGGTCAAATGATATATATGGATAATTGGAAAATGATGATGTATCTTGGGACACCTGTCATGCCCGATTTGAACGCTTTAATAGCAACAGGCCTTTATATAAATGATCTCTCGATGCACGATTTTAGCCGGTAAAGAAACTATTCAGCCGATGTAATTTTAAGAAGAAAAAGAATTTCTTATTGTCCGTTGTTACGTGATCCGAGTATCTCATTGTTAAAGAAAACAGTCGTGTAATGTTTGTATTGAAAATTAAAATTGGAAAAATTATATAATAGTTTCCATCTTTGGTGATCGACTATACAGAGTTAAGTTCTGTGTCAAATCGATAACTATCTTATAGATACTTAATGATTTCATAGAGACCTTATGCTTGCTGGAACCCAACAGTCTGTGGAATTAAAACTGGCATTAGATCAAGAACAGCTTAAGAGTAAAAAATTAGAGGAATCTATGAGAAAACTGGATGAAGAAATGAAGCGTACGGATGAGTTATTATATCAAATGATTCCCAAACAAGTCGCAGATCGTTTGAGGAATGGTGAAAGTCCGATTGATACTTGCGAGGTATGGTTAAGAAGAATAAAATGAAAAATTCAAATTTCCTGCTTTTATTCATTTGTTAGATTATTAAATGCTGTTGGCAAAAATGGAATATTTTTTTAAAAACGGCTGCGTTCTAAAAAAACCCTAATTTTTATCGCACAGATTCGAGGTGGCGTATTTTCTAAAATGAAAACCATCATAATAATTAATTTTTTTTGTTTTAATAGAAAACGAAATAATAAGTGCGTAAGGTAAGATGACGAATTGTTAATTTTTCTATGTTATAATAATAACCAATGATAAACTGAAATGATATGACTGAGATGAATTCATTAAACACTTTAAATAATAACAAGTCATCTCTTGTTGTTTAATTTCAATCAATATATCTACAAAACTACTTTGTATAATGAGAAGTATATATGTGCTCATATTGTACATACGTAATATTTTTTGGTGTTAGTTTATAAAGAATGATATAATTACAGTAAATACTTTTACTTTCTTTATAAAATATAATTTTTTATCAATAAAATTGTCTCAAAATATTCTCTGCTTGCAGATGTTCGATAGTGTATCGATCCTGTTCTCGGATGTAGTGACTTTTACTGAGATCTGCAGTAGAATTTCACCGATGGAAGTTGTGTCAATGTTAAACGCCATGTATTCGTTGTTTGATACTTTAACCGAGAGAAATCGAGTTTACAAGGTATTCTTCATTCGTCTCATAGAAAAGATTATCTCTCGTTCAACCTCGTTCAACCTTGTAATACGAATCTAATTATCATAGTCTATTATTGCGTTATTTATAAATTTAGCAATAAATACCATTCATTTGATTTTAACTAATTTGATTTAATTTAATTTTCATCAAGTTTAATAAAAAAAAAATGCTAAAATAATTGAATTTTTATTTTAATATATTTTCATGTTTGAAAAAATATCTTTATATCAAATAATCATAGAATCCTTTTTTATTCAAGGTCGAAACTATCGGTGATGCTTACATGGTAGTCTCAGGTGCGCCAGTAAAAGAAAACGATCATGCAGATCGTGTATGCGATATGGCGCTTGACATGGTAGAAGCAATAACCGACCTCAAGGACCGTTCAACAGGTATATTTTTCAATTTTTCTTAAGGCATGATCAGACTAGAGATTGAGATTGAGATTGGATTGGAATTTTAACCAATCACAAGAAAGAAAATCAAACTGATCAAGTCTAGTAACTTTGCTTTAATTGATTACAATCCAATCTCAATCTTAATCTCAATAATCTCTAATCTGAACACACCTTTAGAGCATATTTTTATTTTACGTTCTTCGATTTTCTAATAATTTTGCAACTGATTCTCGGTACGAATCCATGAGTCTATACAGTCTTTTAAGGCCTTAGGACATAAAAGCATTGTATATGTAGTTAGTTTTATACACATACACGCACATACGCACGCACGCACGCATGCGTAGAAATATAGTGAAATATTTAAAATTGTTTCTTTATAGAGATACCCTTTGAAATTCTAATTAATTTAAATATTAATCTTTAAATATTAATTTGATTGCAGATTCTATATCTAGAAAGTAATAAGAAAAATTGTATTATATGATCTTTCTTATTCATATCTTTATCAACTTGTTTTAAGACACTATACATATTATACCTAAGTGTGTAATGCATTTCACCGAATTTCACTCGCAATGATGCAGCATGGATTTCATATTGTACTATAAAAGAAAATTTCATATTATATAAAAGATAATTATTATATCTTCACAGGCAACCATCTTCAGATACGCGTTGGCATTCATAGCGGCGCGGTTGTAGCCGGTATCGTTGGCTTAAAGATGCCACGATATTGCCTCTTCGGCGATTCTGTCAATACAGCAGCCCGTATGGAAGCGACAAGTCAAGCCATGCAAATACATATATCTCAATCCACCCAAGAATTGTTATCACCTTCATACAAGGTGAAAGAACGTGAAGAAATCGAGGTCAAAGGAAAGGGTAAGACTATCTTGAATTTTTTATCTTATATACACTATTTTTACAAGGATATTCCTGTGATATTCTTTCTGTTTGTTAATATTTAATTTTAAGGATTTATTAAGACATGTCAGGGCCGATAATTGTATTTATATTGCACATCGATATATATTGTACTAGGCACAATGAAGACCTATTGGTTGGAAAAGCGAGAACGTCGTTCTGTCATGACTAAGGGAATCACTATACAGGAGCCTCATCAATGGCACACAAAGAGTTTCGAGAAAAGAGTTTCCTCGGTGGGAGCTATAGGTTTGATAAGCACAGGTATGTTCGACAAATCGACTTCGGGAGACGCGCTATCGAGACGTAGAGGCTCGTCGAAGATGTCATCCCCTACGCCACCGGGATCCTCGGGATTCCTTTCCGAAGAGAGAAGAATATATTCCCCTATCACTTTCCAAGATGTCGCGCTACGATCGATCGCGAATTCACCGACGAAGAATGTGGAAGTACGAGGTGAAATTTTTACATTTCTTTTTTATAATATATAGTATATATAGTATATAAAAGTATGATTATAACGATTGCTTAGTAAATCGTATCAAAAGCTAGAGTGGAAATAGTTCCAATTTCTCTCGAAGCTTTCTCTAATAAAGAAGCAGAATATATAATAGAGGAATAAATTTTCTGTTCGCGTGGTTGCAGAATGTCGATCGAATTCTATGGGTGCGGTAGGCATAAGGAACGCGTCAGACATGTTCAGTTCTCTCCTGAACGACACAGAGGAGCACTTCCGACAGCACCGGAATAACTTGTCTCCGCGCGTTGGAGAAAATCAATCAACGAGCGTGCAACCGGAAGTGAAGATTAATGCCACTTCATCCTTGTCTTCACAAAGTTCCGAAGAAGAATCAAATTTGTCGTTGGATTTCACACTACAAATGCAAAAGGATAACGCAGATGCGAGAGTTGGTGACGATAATGAGTGCGCAGCTATCAGTAGCGATCTCAACAACTCACAATTGTTGATGCAACAGGATCAGTGTTGTCCAGGATTTACTATCTCAAAGAACAGCAAAATGCGTCATCAAGGGAATAGCTGTATTATTGTCTAATGCAGAAGTTGAAGATTGTTACAGATTTAGCATTTTTTAGATTTCAATGCTAAAATATATTTCCTTCTTCGATTTCTTCTCTCATTTTCGTATAACAAAAAATAAACATATTTATATCATTATTTTGTATCATTATTTTCATCGAAAAAATTTGATTTCTGCTTCTAAAATAATTTTACAAATTTAAATATCTTTTAGAGACGATTTCTATTTCACGTGCCACATTAATTTTTTGATAATTTGAGAGAGAGAGAGAGAGAGAGAGAGAGAGAGAGAGAGAGAGAGAGAGAGAGAGAGAGTCTCCTTGTTTATTATTTGATAAGAAATTTAAATGGACTTAGACACGAAGATAACTCGCGAAATGCATAACTTCTGTAAAGAAACTTAAATTTTTTGCAACAGCACGGCCGAGTGTATTCGCGTATATTTAATAATAATTGTACATATATATCTAAAAAATAAAGTGTTTAAAAAAAAAAGATTTGAAGCATTTGCACTCTTCGACGAGATCGTATTTTCATTACCTGAGCAATATTTAAGTTACACAACTCATTGGCGATACATTGAGCGAGTTTAAACTTCAAGTTAGCAAAGCGACTTGATCTGCTCGCCGAGCAATTAAATATAATTGATTGGATCTACAGGTAAGAACCAATCATGCTCATTGGCTCGACAAGCATGTCGCTTTAAGGGTTTAAACCACATTTGCAATTAACCTTACCTGAGCAGTCCGTACCTCGGTCTTGCTCACAAAAGTGCTCAGTTGACAGTTCTCAATTTTTTCAGTCATTTGTGTTCCTTTCTTATCTATACATTTAGTATAGATAAGTGTTGTTTAGTATTAATATTTACATCATAAAGTATGGCCCATATTCAAAACGCGCTTACAGCGATGTTAACGCGCTAACATGCTATAATTTATGTTACGCATATTATAGAATTTTAAAAGTAATGGCCCGTATTCAGAACGCGCTTTTATCGATAAAAGCGGGATTTTATCAATAAAAACGCGTTTTAAATACGGGCCAAAAGCTTTTATCGATAAAAGCGCGTTCTGAATATGGATTATATCTTCCATCTCCTGCTGACGAAATATACGTTATAATATGATTCACATAATTATTAGAGATCTCTTTTTTGAAATACTTTCTTAATTTATTTGGATTTATAATTGCAAATCAGCAATAAATACGTGCAGCGATCAGTGACGCAACGTGTACATATCTAATCTCATGACACTGCTTTACAAATGGCGCCCAAACATAAAAATCCATTCCGCTCAGCGGATTTCCTCCCAACGGTTGCATTTAGCGGACTCAACAATCTTTTAGCTTATCCAATCAGAATTTTAGATGTAAAAGAATATACCAATAACCGCGAGCGCTCACTCAACTGTTAAGTCCGTTGAATGCATCCAATTAGGAATCACTTTTTTTGACTTGCGCGCTATCTAGTTCGGTCTTCTTATCACTGGCCTAGTTTTCATCGAAGGTTTAATCCGGATCAGAATGTAAGAACCAACCAACTACAGTCGAGCATTCCCCTGTTGTTTGACTGTAACAGGGGAATACAGGGTTAAACTCTCGATGGAAATTAGGCCACTGAGTGAAGCTACTGTTCTTATGGGCTCCGCACAATAAAAGGAACAGGGAACAGAAAACAGAGAATAAAAATGTCAACCTATCAGAAACTGTATATTCTACAGTACATGATTTCTGATAGGTTGAAATTCTTATTCTCTGTTCTCTGTTCCTTTTATTATGCGGAGTCCCTTACTTATACTGTGCTGCGGCCTTAAGACATTTAGAGAATTCTGTTACTGATGTAAAAAAGTGAATATTGCTATGTAATTAACATCCACTTTTTCAGAGGGCAGTAGTGCGTTGGGCAATAGTTTGCGAGAAAAAAACTCTCATGTCTCATGTCCTCTCTTAGGTTTCTCTGCCGGTACTGCTGGTAAGTGATAGTGGTAGTTACGTTACGGGTTACGTTTTACGTTCGTCGCGGTCGTCAGTTGGTCGTGTCGTGTCGCGATTACAGTCGTGGCGCCTTTCTCATCATTCTTCTGTCCTCTTAAAATTTTTGCCAATTCTTTATTGCTCTATGGAACGTCTAAATAGCGTGCTTTTCATGTGACGTGTTTTATATATATTTATATATATATATATATATATATCTATTTTTTTTAAATTATTCGGTGTAAGGTGGTGTTGTTCGCGGTGGAAAAGACGACGTAAAAAATATTGCAGGTAAATAATCATGCGACGTGTTTTCTTGTGAGATTGTTCGATATTTCATCGTACTGTAAAATTTGTGAGGTTAGGGTTAGGTTAACGTAGCATGTCATGGCCTACCGTGCCATGTCACTCGATATGACTGAAATCGCTGCTTTCTCTCATGATAAAAATATCAATAAATATCGCGACGAGGGTTTTTTTTTGTTTGCGGTGGTTTAGAATTAAGTCTAATCATTTATATAGTCTAGTCATCTATATAGTCCGTGATGCATCATGGTCTAGTCTGCACTCTCATCTCTATACGCGGTGAATACGCGTGAATTTATCGTTGATGAATCGACGCGACAACTCGATCGCAACCTCACGCAACCTTGAATTTACATTAAAGGAATATTGCGATTACGAGACTCCTCGAGAAGAGTTTTCATTTTTTAGTCGCTCGATTCCAAGATGGATATTTGAAACGAGTGTAATTGTTATAAATTCGATTCAGAATGATGTCAATTGTAATAAAGCATGAGTATTAAGTATATCACTTAACATTTATAAGAAATTATTTTAATGGCTATATAAACAGGAAGATACGTCGGGGATAATCTTTAAAGACTTTTTCATTTCTATTTACAAAAGTTTTAACAATGTTTACAACATGATAGCTATATTCTTTTCTCATAGAGAAGAAAAAGTCCTATCCGAGTTTGATAGAAAATTTGAATAGACAATGTTAATTGATATATAAATCAATTTTTATAAATATTATTTATATAATTCATATCTTTTTTTACTATTTGTATACAATATATTTTTTTACTATTTGTATACAATATATTGTATATGTGCAACAAAGTTGGTTTCTATAAATAATATTTTGCAGGGTTGCTTTTGTTCATATTAATTTACATTTGATTGTAATAAAGTCTTACATTTGCAGTGAGAGAAAATGATGCAGGATGAAGACTTGGGTGGCTCAGTGAGAAAAAATATTTTCAGTCAAGGGATAATAAGAATATCACAGGTTAATATAAGTTTATAATCGTTCATGTAAACATTTTACCTAACATTTATAATATTTTATATAATATATACACACAATTATTCAGTTTTATTTTCTTCTATTAAAAACATACTGCATATTAGCACTACTTGACAAAATACTAATAAAGATGATCATTATTTTTATAAACTGCTTCCTATATTATTATTGTCCTTTTTTATGCTATTTAAATCTCATTTTAATTTGCATATTTTTAGCTTTATTCTCACTTTTGTGAGCATCATATAATTTATAAAATCTTTTTTTCTTCCATTTCAGATATATCAAAGATACCTAGATCTATGGACTCCTCATGTAATATCGCGATGGATATTTGCTTTATTCTTATTAGTACTTTTTATTCTACGTATATTTATCTCTCAAGTACGGTATTTTTTATTGTATTGTGTGCAAACTTAATTCTTTACAGTATCGCACGGTACTACAAAAACATTTTTGTATTTACAGGGGTGGTATATTGTCACATATGCACTAGGAATTTATCACCTCAATTTATTCATAGCATTTCTTACTCCAAAAATTGATCCTGCCATGGATTTTTTTGATGGTAAGCAATTTGCCAGATGCATTTTAAACTTTTTCATACAATTGTAATTGTTATGAATTATAGAAAGAAATTTATAATGATGCATTCAACAAATGCAATGTGATTTAATTTACTGAAAAGATTTAGATATTTTATAGATTCAGCCAATTAAAAAGTAGTTATAAAGCTTAGAGTTAAATTTAATATAATTTAAAGATAAGAGTTTTATACTTTCTCTCTCTCTCTCTCTCTCTCTCTCTCTCTTTATTTAACATGGGGTATACTCTTTTTTTTTTCCTTTAACATGGATAGAATTAAAAAGTTAATTTAACATGAAATAAAATTACAGATGGAGAAGGTCCTGAGTTACCTACAAGATCAAATGAGGAATTCAGGCCGTTCATTAGAAGATTACCTGAATTTAAATTCTGGTATTCAGTAACAAAATCTACAATTGTTGCCATGGTATGCACTCTATTTGATTGCTTTAATATACCAGTATTTTGGCCGATACTTGTTATGTATTTCATAACATTATTCTGTATCACAATGAAGCGGCAAATAAAGGTAAGGAGTCAATGATAAATTTTTATAGCTCATTTTTATTATTTATTTTTTATTTTTTACTACTTATTTTTTTATGTATTCTGATAATAATCACGCTTAAAAGTTATATGGAAAAAGTTAAAATATTCTATTGAAAATGAGAAAAAAAAAATTTTTTAAACTTCTAAATTTAAATTCGAGAAGTCTTCTGTAGGAATTAAACGTTAAATTAAACGCATTCTGTAAATAAATGTGTTTTTCGCGAAATAATTTCGGGAAAGTTGGTATGAATGATCGAACAGTCTTCTATTCAAGTTGAAAGCTTATTTAATTTGTAATTTATTTTTTACTGCAGATTTAATTTAAATTAATGTAATTTTTTTTCTATTCGCAGCATATGATCAAGTACAGATACCTGCCTTTCACTCATGGCAAACCAAAATATCAGAATCACGAAGACACCTCACGATTAATATCATCAAAGTGAATAAAAATAAAGATATATTGTGCCTGTACAGAGGGGGGGGGGGAAGGGGCATAAGCGAATTACGTAGATTTTAATTTTCCCAGTACAGGGCGAGGGATACTAGCAAGAAAACAAAGAGAAATTGAAAAAAAAATTTTTTTTAATGCTATTAGAAGGAACAGATATTGCCTTGTACAAGAAAAAATTGAGTCCTTGCAAGGACTTGTAACTCTAAATTATACATATAATATATGATATATATATAATCTGGATTATCTTAATATATTTGTATCATAAAACTTGTACAAAATATTGTTAGCTCTTATTTCATTAAAAGAAGTAAGAAAAAAAAACAATATGATCACATCGATAAATGCAGTTGTCAATGTAGTAGATGGATGTAAGTTTATACATAAAGATTTGTTAATAGTTAATGGGTGCTTTCCAATTAATTTCCTAATATGTTTCTCCATATTTCAAGTAAGCAATAATTTTGCTTACGATTAGATAGTAAATTAAAAGATGTACAGAAAGCAAAGAAATATAAACCAAATTCTATTTGTTAAATTATGTCATGAAAATATTGTATCTCGAGAATGTATTTATATGTACGCAAATATATCTGGAATGTAACTAAAATCGTAAACCAATTCATTTTATATTAACAAATTATGCTGTTGTTACAAATTAAACGAAAATTAATTTCGCGTATTTTTGAACTGTTTAGAACATAATACACATCAATGTCTACACACGACACATGTCGTTTATTATAATGAAGTTAGTTGAACTTTTGAATGTAACTTAAATCAAAATACAGGTATTATCAAAAGTCGTATAAATGGAAAGTACCCAATTAATTTATTAATCATTCTAGAGGATATTGTTTCCTGGCGCGTACATTTCATGCAATTTATTTGTGTCTTTAAGCAGCTTTTTTTTAATTTTGGATATCCATTTTTTTTAATCCATAACTATTAGCACGCAGAATATTTTCTTTAGATTTCTACTAACTTTTTTTCCTTCTAATATCGCAGGAAAGTAATGTAGGAAGAATTCAAATCATGAAATGCAGAATGCAAGTCCAATCCTTTCTTTATACAAAAATTGACTAATTTAAATTTTTTTAAAAGTTTGTTACCGTTATATGAAATAATTTTCATCAATTATGCATTCAATTTATTGTTATCAGTATAAAAATTTACATCTTTTAGTATGTAGATATACTTCGGTAAACGAAAATTTATTTAAAAAATTTATCTTGATATTGATATTATCAAAAATAGAAATCTTATATATTAGGTGTAGTAAAAAGAAATCCATTATTTTTCCAATAGATGGCTTTAGTAATCTTTATCACGCGTAGACGAGATACAGATTACTAAAGCCATCTATTGGAAAAATAATGGATTTCTTTTTACTACACCTAATATATTGTCTTTTATATTACTGTTAATAGAATCAAATTAACCTTTTAAAATAATTATTTAAATCATTTAAAAAGATCATCTTAATAATATTGGATATTTAACAAAGAATTTATAGTATTAAATGTGTAAGAGAAATTACAGATTTTATATTAAACGTTTGATATTACGATTATATTGATGTGTATAATAATAAATATAAGTGCATTTTATATTGAAATTATACACACAAAATTAGTTTATCAATTAGTTTAACAGCTTTGATATCGTTGAACTAAATTACTGATATTTTAATATTGAAAGAAAATTATTAATGTAAAAGAAATTAATGCATCTTATTGTTGTAATATTTTACTTGTTGGATCAGTGTTATTTTTCAGAATCTTCTCTTGTATAATTTGCGGTAGAATTATATAGGCAATGTTCCAAATTTACTGCCAGCGTTGAAAATTTATAGTTTATGTTATGTGCATTATAGTTTTTCAGTATTGACAATCAATTACGGAACATAAAGAAACATGCATATTTTTTTCGAATTTTTTTTTTCATATCATATACTACGCACTAATACACATGCAGATATTTAGATAGAGAGAGAGAGAGAGAGAGAGAGGGTGGGGTGAGGGTGACAGGTCGAAAGAATCTATCAGTGAAAAATGTAAAAAAACCCATCAGAGCCTACATCAACTGTTCGGATGCACAGAAAATTCTTTATTTTCGTGTGAATGTAAAAACGAAAAAAGTAAATGTTTCGACCTTTCAATTCGGGTCCTTATCAATATAAAATATAAAACGAAATTACATAAATAGCGCAAGACACACACACACACACACACACACACACACACACACACACACACACACAGAGGTACGCGCGCGCGCGTATACAATTCATTACCAAACAATATATTTGTGTTTCAAAATTTATTGCCAGTATTGAAAATTTATAGTGCATGTGATATAAACTATAGATTTTCAGTATTGGCAATAAATTTTGTAAAATGTTTAATAACGGTATGTCGCATGTGAGAAATCTTGCTTATTAAAGATATATTTTTATTTTATCCTAGAATACTTAATACTTTTACACTTTTTCAATAAATAAATTTTTCTAATATTCAATAAATAAATTTTCTAATATATTAAGTGTAAAACATTTGTATATCTTAAAGAATACACACACACACACACACACACATACACGCGCGCGCGCGTGTGTTTGTATATGTATGTATGTATATATTCTTTAAGATGTATATACTATATATATTATATCTATATATTATATATGTACAATATATACAATATATACAATATATTATATATATGTGTGTGTGTGTGTGTGTGTGTGTGTGTGTGTGTGTGTGTGTGTGTGTGTGTGTGTGTGTGTGTGTGTGTGTGTGTGTGTGT